AAAAAATATCAAAAAAACTCAAATTTTGTCATAAATTTAGCACAAAATGTATTCTGCTACATATGTTTGGTTAAAAAAATCCCATTAAGTGTATATTGATTACTTTGTGTGAAAGTTATAGCCTCTACAAACTATGGTATAGATAATGGAATTTACACAGCTTTTACTTTTTCTGACTGCCCATCATATTTCTTGAGGTGCTAAAATACCAGGACAGTACAAACACCCCCAAATGACTCCTTTTCAGAAAGTAGACACCCTAAGCTATCTGCTGAGAGGCATATTGAGTCCATGGAAGATTTATTTTTTTTCCACAAGTTTTTGGAAAATGACAAAAACATTTTTTTTTTTTAACACAAAGTTGTCATTTAAATTATATATTTCTCACACAAGCCATGGGTATATGTGGAATTACACTCCAAAATACCTACTGCTACTTCTACTGAGTATGGTGATACCACATGTGTGACAACTTTGGGAGCCTAGCCACACACAGGAGCCTGAAATCCAATGACCACTTTGAAAGCCTGAAGGTGTGTAACCTCCTCATTTCACTTCCTCACTACCTATTACAGTTTCAGAGGCCCTGAGATGACAGGATAGCACCAAACTCCCCCCAAATTACCCCTTTTTGGAAAGTAGATACCCCAAGGAATTTAAAAAGAGGCATGGTAAGTATTTTGCAGATCTCATGTTTACTCGCAAGGTTTTGAAATATAAAAAAAGAAAAAAAATATGTTTTTGTTTTCTTTCTTCACTTTCCAAAATCTTGTAGCAACAAACGAGATCTGCAAAATGTTCACCATGTTTCTTATCAAATTCCTTGGGGTGTCTACTTTCCAAAAAGGGTCATTTGGGGGGGTTTGGTGCTATCCTGGCATTTCAGGGCCTCCAAAACTGTGATAGGTAGTCAGGAAGTGTAATGAGGAAATAAAGCCCTTTAAAAGCCTGAAGGTGCTTATTTGATTTTGGGGACATGTACTTGGCTAGACTGCCAAAAAGTCTCTCACATGTGGTACTCCCATACTCGGGAGAAGTAGCAGAATGTATTTTGGGGAGTAAATCCACATATACCCATGGCATGTGTGGGCAATAAATCATTTAAGTGACAATTTTGTGTAAAAAAAAAAAAAACATTTTTTTTTTCATTTTCCAGAAACTTGTGGTAAAAAAATAAATTCTTCTATTGACTCAACATGCCTCTCAGCAAATAGCTTGGAGTGTCTACTTTCCAAAAAGCAGGCATTTTATGCCCAGCATTAGAAGTTTATGCCACACATCACTCACTCTTCTAACCACCTGAAGCCCAAGCCTTTTCTGACACTTTTTGTTCACATGAAAAAAAAATCTATTTTTTGCTAGAAAATTAATTTGAACCCCCAAACATTATATATTTTTTAAATCAGACACCCTAGTGAATAAAATGGTGGGTGCTGCATTTTATGTCACAAAGATTTTTCAAACGCAAATATTTTGAAAAAAATACACTTTTTTTTTACTTTTAATGCACAAAAACACAATATATTGGCCAATTATTTGGTAAGATATAAAAGATTATGGTATGCCGAGTAAATAGATACCAAACACGACATGCTTTAAAACTGTATATGCCCAGTGCAATGGCGACAAACTGCATACATTCTTAATATCCATAGACAACACTTTAAAAGCCTTTACAAGCTACCATTTTAAATTTACAGAGGAGGTCTAGTGCTAGAATTACTGCCTTGATCTGACGTTCGCGGCGAAAAGTTATTTAGATTTTTTTTGATTTTTACACTGTCTCATTTTTTTTTTTAGCACTTTTAATGTTATCATAGGGAATGCAAATATCTACAACTTCAATGATACTGTAGATATTTCCTCTGCCTTTACATTATCTAATCTCATCAAAATCAGTGTGAACAGATGCTTTCCCAATTTAGGAATGGCGCTGTTTATATATCCTGCGAAACTGAAGTGATGAAATGCTCGTAGCTTCCAATTTCTTAGACTATAGAGATGATTCCGGTCTCTGATCAGCTCTATGGTCAGCTGGCAGAAACACCGGCTGCATTTTCAGGTTCTCCTAATGGCTCAGGACTGCCCGAGAAGGCCGTGGGAGGCAGCAGGGGAGGGGGGCATTGTCTCCCGCTGCTTGTAAAAGCAATCCTGCAGCTAGCCACTAGGATTTATTAGGATTTATTTACATGAAAGCCAATTGCCAGCTGAAAAAAACAATACCAGGATGATGCCTGCAGCTGTAGGCATCATCCTGGTATAACCATTCAAAGTCCAGTGATGTACCAGTACGCCGCTGGTCCTTGTTCGGTATATATGCTCTTTTTTTTTATGCAGCCTGTTGGATGAATGAAAAAAAGAGAAGAAATCTCTGCCAGAAAAAGTGTGTTGTATGCCCACCATTAGAATATATCGCTCTGCATCCACCCACTTCTAATAGTGGGCACACATTAGGTTGTACGGTGCCACATACGGCAATTCCAAGATTGTACAAATGTCTAAGTAGTGGCACGCTTGAATAAAAATTTTCCACTTATAAGTGGTACCAAATATGGAAAAAGGATGACACCAAGTCCCAAACTATCTTGCCACTACTCCCCATGTAAATCCCAAACTTATATGTATAGCCTGTTGCCCTCTCACAGGTCATCTGGGGACACTATACTAATGTGAACGCTGGAATAGTGCTGATCTGATCAAAGATATTGATCCGTACAGACACTATACTAGCAATGAAGTTTTATTGTGTATGAGCATGTTCAACTCAAGGGGTTGGAAATCAAGGGGTTAAATGATTACTGGTGCACTGACAGGCAATCTGACTCTATCTGGGAGGGACGTGAAAACCACGGGCGTGTGAATCATGTATATATACGTTATTTTGCGTACCCGTGCTGCCCTATAGCAGTATTTCTGCTACAGGGTGGTCATGAAGCTGTTAAAGATGAAGTTTGCATTACGGCGCTGCGTTATTTTAACTGACAATAGCGCGGTCATGCAGTGCTGCACCCAAATGAAATATACATCCTCTTTTTTTCCCACGAATTGAGCTTTCTTTTGGTGGTATTTGATCGCCTGTGCGTTTTTTAGTTTTTGCGCTATAAAAAAAAAAAAGACCAACAATTTTGAGAAAAAAAAACAATATTTTGGACTTTTTGCTATTAAACATGTCCAGTAAAAAATGTAAAAATCAAATTTCATCATAAATTTAGGCCAAAATGTATTCTGCGACATGTCTTTGCTAAAAAAAAAATCCCAATATGTGTAAATTTATAGGTTTACATGAAAGTTATAGTGTTTATAAGTGACGGTATAGATACTGTAATTTTTTATCTATATACTAATAATGGCGCAGATTAGCGACTTATGGCTGCAATCAGCTACTTATAGCGGGACTGTGGCTGGCATACAACTGGTGGTGTATATATACTGGAATTTTTATTTATTTTTTTATGACTCACTGCGGGACTGCGACGGACATTCTGACACTGGGGGGAACTGACTTGATGTCACTGACATCCCCAGTTACACCTATCAAGTGATCAGTGCTAAAAAAAAAAAGCACTGACACTGTACTAATGGCACTGGGCAGGAAGGGGTTAACAATGAGGGTCAATCAAAGGGTTAACTGTGTGATGGGAGTGTTTTTTTCTAGGGGGCGGGGGAGGGCTGTGCTTCACTGTAAGCACACTGATCGGGATGGCGGTGCTCCGTCATCCTGAACAGTGTGCCCAAACTAACAGGGAGGAGAGCTGTTGGTAAACATTGCAGCCCTCCCTGTCGGTGATTGCTATTATTCTCCGGGTGCCGGTAGGGCGGGCATGCGCCTTGTGTGCGCCCCCTACCCGGAAATGCAGCACTGTTCTGTGGGCGGTCCTTATGTGGTTATTGTGAGCTGAATTACAGAAGCAGTAATGTTTGTCAACACTGTTCAGAAACATGACTCAATAGTACAATGTAACATTACTGTGTATTTACTCTGCTTCATTCATATAAAATTCACAGAGGTGACCACTGATCTGCATTTGATGTCAGATAAGGCAGTCATGTGACTTTGGACATCAATGTCACATGACAAGTCACAGCCCATTCTTTTCAATGGCAAATTGGTGCAACAACTTTGAAAAGGTGCCTGCACTACTTTGGTTTGATATTTGATGTGACTTAGATCCACTGAGTGTAAAGTTGGATCAAAGTTGCACTGAAAGTCGCAAGTTGTGTGATTTTGGAGTCCCGCTAGTGTAAATGGAGCCTAAAGCAAGCTTACAAATAAAAAAAAATAATGTAATTCTGTTTAACCCCTTATTAACTGTTAGTTAGCCCTAATCACCATTAATTAACTTCTGCCCCTGTCCCCCTTAGCTACCCTTAACCCGGCTTTAAACAATAGGATTTTCTTTCCTGCAACCATGGGTTGATTCCCCCATCAAAAGAATCAGTGTTGATAAGGGAATTCCTCCCGCAGAGCTATTGTGTTCTCCTGGATGGATGATGCAGGAAGCATCCTTACACAGCTGCTGGCAATAATTGCATGAAAAATCCAACAAGTTGGTTGTACCCAAGTCATACAACAATCGAACTAGGTACAATCATCTTGTCCATAAATGGTTAAAATTTTGGCCAGTCCCTGCTGAACCAGACAAGATTTAAACCATCTATGGCTGGCTTTAGTCTTAATCAACCTTAATTCCCACCTTCTCTACGCTCCCCTTCAGCAATTATTTTTCTGCTTATCTTATTACCTTTTGGTTTAAAAAAAAAAATAGTATTTAAAGGGTAAGTTTATTTTTTAAGAAAAAAATTAAAAGGTGACAAAACAACCTACACCCTCCCCACCCCTCCAAGGCACGCTGTACTTACCTTTCTGGGTGATGACCTGTCAGGGCAGGAACGCTGGAATGGGCAGGCAGGCCTATGGTACGGTCACGCTGCGACTGACGACAGCCACTACCCACAGACCAGAGCCCCTCAGGGCGCGGAGTCTAAGCCCCAGGCTACCCTTCACCAGGGCCCCTGATGGTGGGGATGGACTTGACGCAGCCTGAGACCAGGTCGCGGCCCCCGAGTGACCCCAGCCGCGATAACGACTGCCGCCAATGGCGTACAGCTGGTGGGAGCTAGATGGGAACACGAGTAGAGTAGTCAGACAAGCCGGGTCAATAACAATGGAGCAGACAGTACTAGACGGTAGGCAAAGAATACTCAGGTTACGGGCCGGGTTCAGCAACGGAAGGTCAGGTAAAGGGTTAACACAGAGAGTAGTCTTGTCCAAGCCGAGTCGGTTACCAGGAGAGCAATGGGAACAACACAAGAGCTTGCAACAGGGCAACATACAGGACACAAGTGCAGAGCACACTTGCAGACAGCAGGTTTAAATGTGCTCAACCACACCCTTCTGAGGAGGAGCCGCAGAAGCCTGAAGGCATAAAGGTTCCCACCATGCTTTGCAGAAAACCAAGATGGATGCCAGCTCATGGAGATGCACAAGCTCTGAAGAAAGGTAGGACCTTGACATGACCTGTCAGTGCCCATGCAGCTGGTTCAGTAGTCCACGGATTTGAATTCCTACTCTTCTCCCCCTTCTTTTTGCGCGGTCTCTGGGATGGACCAGAGCGATTCTCTGTGCTAACTAATCAGAATCAGCTTGATCCATCCCAGAAGCCCTACAAAAAGGGGAAGAAGAGTGGGAATTTCAAATCCCCGAACTGCTACAAAGGCTGTTTGGGCACTGACAGCTCATCACCCACTGAGGTAAGTACTGCTAGGACCAAGGGGTGGTTTAGTTCACCTTTAAAAAAAAATTTTTTATTAGTATTTGCTTTATTCCTTAATTTTTTTGGCATGCGAAATGTAAAATTTAAAAACAAAAACCCCTTTTTTAAAATTTGTAAATTAGTTTGCAATGCTTTACCGAATTTGTAATTTTATCATCATTATAAACAGGGCATACGATAGAATACACATTATACTACAGTTACATTATTCTTTAAAAAACATTCATCAAAGTTTTAAAAAGTGTGTGTTTTGTATGTAGATTGCATAAGAAAGAAAAATATTTTTGCACAACAGTATCAGCAAAAGAGAGAAAAAATTTGATGGAAAAAAAATAAGCAAAAGAAAAAAAATTCCGTTGATGTTATACTTTGTTCACACTTTGTGATCAAGATAAAGTCAGATTTAAATACATTGCTGATTTTTCTTCAAGTTGCAAATGAATAGACAGCTTTGAATAAGAATACTTTAGAAGTGCTGATCTCTTTATCATCATGCTTTAAGGCACCGTAAAACCCAGCTGAAGTGTTTCTTTTTACAGTAGTTATGCAGTCAGACTGCATAACAAGTTAAGAATGTTTTTTTTATGTGCATGTATAGGAAATTACCCTATGTCAGCAGCACACTGGAGAGCTAGACCACTTCTCTTACATAGAGTGCAGCAGTCCTGGATTTCAATGGTCCAACTCCTTTCACAGAAATGTAATCAACAATGCTCCCACTCAAAGGGAAACTTGTTTACACATATATGCATGTACAAGGGTTGTAAAAAATGCAATTACCTTAAAGCGGTTCTAAAGGTTCAGATTTTTTTTCATTAAAATACTAAACTCATACTTACCTGCTCTGTGCAATGGTTTTGCACAGAGCAGCCCCAATCCTCCTCTTCTTGGGTCCCCAGCCAGTGCTTCTGGCCCTTCCTTCTTTCAAGTGTCCCCAGAACAAGCTGCTTGCTCTGCGGGTACTTGCACGTGCTCACTCCCGAGCCGCTTCTGTGTGTCTATGGGACACAGAGCATGGCTCAGTCCTGAAAAGCCCCTTCTCCCCCTTCTTACTGGTTGAGATTGACAGCAGATGGAGCCATTGGCTCAGTCAATGAGGAGAGAGAGACCCTGGACAGCAGCCATTCTCGTGTACATCACTGGATTGAGATTGCGCTCAGGTAAGTATTAGGGGGGGGGGGGGGGCTGTGGAAGGGAGCTGCACACTGAAGGGTTTTTTTTTTTAACCTTCATGCATATTATGCATGAAGGTAAAAAACTGCATGGTATTTTGCCATTGAGTAGTATGAAAATTGTAAACTTAAAAGTGAATCCCATTGAAGTCTGTGGAGGGAGTGAGATCTTGAAAATCAACTCTGACTATTAAAAAAGGCAAAGTATTGTCAAAAAAGTGCATGGGTCACTGGGCGCTGCCATGGACATGTACCAATGCAAAAAAATTTAAAACATGGACAGCACAGTGGCTAAATGATTAGCACTTCCGCCTGGCAGTACTAGGGTCATTGGTTTGAATCCCAACCATGGCACCACCTGCCTGGAGTTTGCATGTTCTCCCTGTGCCTGCGTGGGTTTCCTCTGGGTACTCCAGTTTCCTCCCATATTCCAAAGATATGCTGGTAGGTTAATTGAATCCTGTCTAAATTGGCTCCAGTATGTGTATGTATGAATGTGAGTTAGGAACCTTAGATTGTACACCCCTTGAGGGTTAGGGATCGATGTGAATGTACAATATATATGTAAAGCGCTGCGTAAATTGATGGCACCTGAAATAAATAAAATAAATAAATAAAAATACCGTACTGCAGGGAGAGGGTCTACCTTTTTATGTGACTTCAAGAATACCATGGGAAAACACTAATGTTTCTAATTACATGCTTGAAAGATGCCTTTAGGTGTTATGGAACAGTATTATCTTCACAGACATTGTTAGCGACACCATATTCTGGCATTACATATTTTTGATGTGCTATTGAATTTTAAAATTTTACTTTTACCTTAACCTAAAGTGGTTGTAAAGGCTAAAGGATTTTTACCCGAATGCATTCTCTGCGTTAAGGTAAAAAAACCTTTTAGGTGAAGTTCCCCCCCTGCCCCCCTAAATACTTACTTGAGACCATTCTAGATCCAGCAATGTGCCCAAGAGCACCACCTGCTATCTCTCTCCCTCTTCACTGGACTCAGTGAGAGCAGCAGAAACCATTGGCTCCTGCTGCTGTCGATCAAATCCAATGACAAGGGAGCAGGGGGACAACACCAAGCCCAACTGTGTGTGTCACCAGATTAAGCCAGCACGAGTACCCCCAACAAGTGGCTTGTTAGATGGGTACCCAGAAGGCAGGAGGAGGCAGGAGCGCCAACGGGGAGCCCTAGAACAGGTGGAGGTGGAACAGGTGCAACCCAAGAGGAGAAAGGAGTGCCAACGGGGAACCCTAGAACAGGTGGGGGTGGAACAGGTGGAACCCAAGAGGAGGAAGGAGTGCCAATGGGAACCCTAGAACAGGTGGAGGTGGAACAAGTGGAACCCAAGAGGAGGAGGAGCGCCAACGGGAACCCTAGAACAGGTGGAGGTGGAACAAGTGGAACCCAAGAGGAGGAAGGAGCGCCAACGGGAACCCTAGAACAGGTGGAGGTGGAACAAGTGGAACCCAAGAGGAGGAAGGAGCGCCAACGGGAACCCTAGAACAGGTGGAGGTAGAACCCAAGAGGGAGCACCATTGCAAAGAGCAGGTAAGTATAACAAGCTTATCATTTAAAAAAAAAACACACACAAAAAAGAAAAAGATCCTTTACAATCACTTTAAAAACAGCAGCACTCCAATCAGGTTGATTTAAAAAAAAAAAATGACATCGTTTTGGCTGTGACACCTCATTTTTATCCAGGAGGTAATAGGCCTGAATTGAACAGTGGAAATAGCAGCCATAAAGCTATAGATAAGTCCTCAGCTTTTCAGTAAGTGGCCAGTGGCATATCAGTATGATAGTATGGTTTATGGACTGCTTTTATTCACAGGAGATGTGTTGGGGTGCTGGCAGGGACAAGAAGGACATTTTTTTGAGAAGCTTCAAGAGGGATGTTTCATCCACTCCCTGATACAAAGGGTAGAATCTGTGAGATTTACTGCCACCATCCCAGGCACACTCTGAGGATGTGGTCCAAAGAAACTTCCACATTTGCTGATGGTGTCTGGATCCCCCATACTGAGGGCATAGCTGCAGGGGGAAACCCATGTCCAATGGATGCCCATCCTTCCACATTGGCACTTTGACAGAGGATACTTGTTGCGGACACAAGAAAAGCTGCTCTTTATTTGCAGCCAATCAGCGCATACTAGGGTAAAACTGAGTGCACCAAATCACTGCATACTTATCCCACTATTGCCATAGCTGCCATTTCATTTAGGAAACCCCCCTTATTAAAGGACGATACAAGTAAGAGGCATACGTTCTGCATGCAGCGGTAGTAGTTTTTTCCTTGTAAGGCCATCCATGCCCTGGTGAAACAAGCACAGACAGGCACAGCAATACGGACTGGGTAGTCTTCTCAGACAAGACAGAAGTCCTAGGCCACATCACCAGCTTGTCCCTGTGCAAAAATAAAGAAAGGGCTTAGACATTCGCATGAAACGACTCCCTGGTGCAAACAAAAGGCAGCTCCAAGAATTGATGCTCATGTTAACAAGTGAATGCTGCGTTGTGAGCATCCCAAACTTATAAAAAGGCCCAATCAACTTAAAATAAAATCTAAACACAAACAAACAAAAGAATTACATGCTTTAGTGACCAGTCATACCTGTGTGATTTCAGGTGTGATTTGCAAATTTAAATCACACCTGAAGTTGCATCTAATGAATATGAATGTTAGTGTCTTAACATGTGCGATTTGCTGCAGCGTGACTTCTAAAGTAATTCTTGCATTACTTTTTTTCTGCAGTTTATTGCGATTTCACATACATAGAATATAGTGGAAATCGCAATGCAAATCTCAAGAAACCAGTGAAAGTCTCAATAAAGTCTTTAGAAATCACGTTGAAATCACACACAAATCGCAACGATGTGACCAGTGACTAACTTGCCACGTATTAACGTATTGACGTCACTACGCTCGGCGTCTTCATAGGGTGCGGCGCCCATGAGGTGGGAAGGAACGGCGGTGTCACAGCTCCTTGCTAGGAAGGCACGAGGCCCTCTGAAAAACTACCATAAGGCTACTATTACAGCGGTTCGCAAACGGCAATCCCCTAGGGGAATATACCTTCCACCGGTGGCAAGTTATTTAAGCTTACAGCTGTTTAGATTTATAGAGCATAAATGGAGTTAAGAAGGCATCTCATACGGGCCTAATTTACCCTGTATACACGGGGAATTTTTTGGAATCCTCTTCGGAGGATAACATATATATATATATATATATATATATATATATATATATATATATATATATATATATATATATACACGCTATCCTATTTAGGCATTGCATGCTGTGACATAGCCATATCCTAATGAAACCGCTTCAATTTTCTCAGATTGAGTAATTTTTGGAAACCCTTTATTGGGTATATAGACTCAGGTTCTCACGGCCTGCTACATACATATATGTGTTTGGAATCTACGTACTGTGACTACCTGGCTTCCCACCCC